TGTGTTGGTGCCTAAAAACAATAGTTGCAAAAAATTTTGTTTTAATCTAGCTCAATTCTAACCTACATTTAATTAAACATAACTTGTCTCAACCCTTTTGTCAAACATTGTATAATACATAATGCTAAGCAAAATGTAAAATTTATTTTTGTAATAAAAATTATATTAATAAAAATACATTTGTGCATTTTAAAATATAATATATTTTTGTCTATTTATTACATAATTATGTAAATAACTATAGATATTATAAGTAGTATCCTTTCCAGTACCCGTCGCATGGATCATCTAATACCCTGCTTAAATTAACCGGATTAAGGTCCCGGACTTTTATCACATTATCCACTAAAAGTGGCCATTGGTCATCAGGTTTTCTATCATTGTAAATAACAAGTACAATTTAAATAAATTAAATTAAAATACAATTTTTAATGATCAAGGTAATATATACCCGTATTTAGCGAAATCGGTCCACATTTTCATAACCTATCGACTTAGTAGGAAATCTTCCGGTGCCCACTGTTGACGCTCCATGAATGGTAGGCCAAACACAAACACCAGGTCCTCACCGTGACATATGCCCATAGTCTGGGGGTCGCACCCGAACTCCTTGGCTACCACTGGCTTCTTGTACGTGAGTTCATAAAAGTAGGCCTTTTGTTGCTTCCGGACGATTGACGCGAATTGTGTCGCAAACAGATATGTCGGACACTTCATGAAGAGGTCACCGAAAAAGTCGTATAACGCCCACCGAAGGGCACCGGGATTTGAAAGGTTGACCCCCTTAAGGTAATAGTCTGTCACTTTGGCGAGACTAATACCATTGTATATGTTATTGATTTTTGAGATGTCCCTGTTGAAATCATCGATTGTCATGTTGTTTATGTGGGGCTCATCGATAGCCTCCGATAGGTCTGACCCCTCATCTCGTGTAATCCCTGCCATTAAATCGATGTCTAAAATAACAAGGTGGTTTATGTATGAGTTGTATAAACATTGTACTTGGTATATTATCATGAGTTAAATATTATATTGAATTTGATGCAAACCTGAATTAAACTTATTATCCATAAACGCATTTTGAGCTGACCAAGGTAAATATTCAGTGCCCAATACAGGAAATGTAAGCGTAATCTCAAACTTTAGGAATTCCTCGGCACCGACACCTCTCAGACATTGCAGCCATTGGTCAGAATCACTACAATTGAGTTGTTTTGCCATTTGTTTGGCTTGAGTTAGAGCCTTAGCCTTACTGAGCACATCCCTGTCCTTGTTATACATATGGGCACCGCTTTGCATGATAGCCCGCTTAAACAGACCCTGAGCTAAGGGGCTAAACATTTGGACCGCCGGACCAACTCCCGGCGCTCTCACCGAATATAGTGATCTGATCCCTGTCCCTACCAAATTGATGTATATTTCCCCTAACCTTTAGATTAAAATTTGGTCATTTAGTATGTAAATTTAGCAAGGTACTTTTATTAATTAAACAATTTATTACCCATTTAAGTGCCAATAGTTGATCAAAAAAGCCTACATTTCCGGGCGCCGACACATCGCCGCCATATAATTAGCCAAACGGTCCTAACCTGTAATTTGTCGACACAAACACCACGTCATGTGTGGCTAAAACACTGCCATTATATTGGGTGTCAAATATGGACCCTGATGACAAACCACCGCCATATATCCATAACATAACTATACTTTTAGTAGTGTTTGTGCCGATGACCTACTGTTTGCCACATTTGGTGTCCATATGTTTAGTACCAAACAGTCCTCACTGTAGGTCATGTTTGGTGAATAAGGGTCTGGTAGTTACATACATGAGTTACCCGTTTGAGTCGCGTCTATAATGTCCTAGTACGTAGCATAATAATAAATTATTTTATAAATTGATATAAATCATCTTGGTATATCCTTTTAGGCAATTTTATTGGTACTGGTTTAGAGATCCTGAGGCTTCCGACTGGGGGTTCGGCGTAAGGTATGTTCAAAAACTGGTCAACCCTTATGTTCAACACATTTATGGTAAGACCTCTCACCACACTTGATGTGGTGTTCACATCAATACAGCTAATTAATTGAAGGCTTATTAAATTCACTAAACAAATATGTATCTTGGTCATTTTATTGATTAAAGGTCCATAAATTATAATTAATATATTAATGTTTATAAAATAACAGTATAATTTAATGTATTGATATTATATTTGACATTTAAAATCTGTGATAATATATTGTTTATAGTAACCTATGTGATATAAACTATTAAATGTAATTATATCATTATAAGCATAATGCATTTATTTTATCATAAGTTGTCTAGATAATATAAGATATAGTGTATATTGCCGAATGAAATTTATAAACTCATATTATGTAATTGTTTCTAAAATGAATTTAAGTTTAATTAAAGATCACAAATAATAAACTATTAAAATTTATTAGATAATGTATAAAAATGATGTGATAATATAATTATAAAAAGAAATTAAATAATATTTATATCATCAAGCTTTCTGATGTAGGGTTTGTTCAAAAACTGGTCCACCCTTTTGATCAACACATTTATGGAAAGACCTCTCACAACGTCTTTTATTGTAATAAACGTTACCAAGTTAATTTAATTACTCTATTATATTTATTTAGTCTAATGATTTTCGTAAAATTTATAAATTATAATATAATTGATATAGGTTTTTTAATTAGTAAAGAGTATAAACATATTTATTCAGAATGTGTCAAATATTTTAGAAAATATTTAATAAAAATTGGTCAAATATTTACTCAATTATTTATTTATTTTTACTCAATTTGTGAAGGATTTCTGTGAACTCTTAGATTTTATATAACGATATATTTGAGTATTTTTATTTAAAATAAAACTTCCCTGATATTATAAATCTTTTGACGCCAATGTTTAAGATATTTATATTATAACGATAAAAATATTAAATGTTTTGAATCGCTTTATATTAGAAACTAGATAATTGACATGAACCTTATCAAATAATATAGGTGTTTCACATACCTCTAATGGATAGTTTATATGAGCTCATAAAACTATATCTATACAAATATGTCATATAAATACTTTCAACTCTGCTTTTATTATTAGTATTGGATGCATTTTAAATACAAAAGTACTCATAAAAGCAGAGTTGAAAATATTCATTCGATATTCTAGTGTAGTATATAATAAGAAATATATACACTTATAGCTAAATAATGAATATTACTCAATGAGTTTTTCACAAAGCCAAATGTTGACTGTATATCATTAAAATGGCAAATGAAATAATATCAATAAATACAATTAAATAATACTGACTATTATTAAAATGGATACAATAACTCAGGACGTTTTTGTCAAAAGGTCTAAGAAATATATTAAATGTGCTGTTTATATGCGTGGCGATGAGTTTCGAATTAAGCGAAATATGGACCTGGCTAATACAATTGGTAAGTTTAGGCCAAGGTCATATATTAATATTACTATATTTAGATAAATAATATTAACATATTTACATAACCATCATAGGTTAATCATTAGATACAATACTTTCTCTATTGAAACAATAGTAATTTATTTGTCATATATGAAAACAAACATTCCCGGATCTGATTGTGATTCTAGCACAATTTTTATTACGCATATGCACACCTTGAGCTACAAATGTGACATTATTTCAAAGGGCATCTGACTGAGGAATTCTAGGATATA